CATAAATCATATTTCCGTAGAAGATCACTGTTGCATATTGAACTTCATCTTATAATTATCAAACAAAAAAAAATTTTATAATTTCTTCCTAATTATTTATATTAATATAATAATGACATATTAATAAACCTGAGTAGAGAAAAACATCATTCTGATCATATTTTATTCTTTCTTTTTTCTTTTTGTGACTTTTGTTTTTTCTTCTTCTATATAAACATGCATTATTAAGAAGAAACAGTTTGTAATATGAAAACGACTAAATAAAGTGCAAGAAATATAACACTTGCAGTGTTCTTATCAATTTTATCATATATTGTCTATCTAGTTTTATTTATTCTTCTTCTTTCACTAAAGGTGTTATTCGTAGCATTGATGGCAGCTTCATCCATTCAACAAGTACTTGAAATTCGAGATGCATCTATTCCAAAGGATAGTTTACTCGGAAATGCACTTCCTGGTTCATCTCTTCTTGATGTAAGCAATATTCCACGTCAATGTGGTCTATTATCAAATGATGAAATAAATATTACTGAAAATTATACAGCTACTCAACTTGTTACTCTTATGGCTTTAGGTCAATTAACAGCTGAACAAGTCCTTAGAGCTTATCTGAAACGAGCTGGTATTGCTCATCAATTGACTAATTGTGCTACAGAATTTCTTGGTGAAGTAGCCATCAATCGAGCTAAATATTTGGATGAAGAATTTAATAGACGAGGAGGACCTGTTGGTCCACTTCATGGTTTACCGATCTCTGTCAAAGATTTATTAATTATGCGTGGTCGAAGGAGTGTTGCAGGATATATAAAATGGATTAATAGAATAGCTGAAGATGATGCTCTTATCTTGAAAATTCTCTATGAAGCAGGTGCTATCTTCTATGTTCGTACTACTCAACCACAAAGTTTGATGCATCTAGAATGTAGCAGTCCAATCTATGGTACTACAGTCAATCCATTTAATCGAAGTTTAACTTGTGGTGGAAGTTCAGGTGGTGAAGGTGCTTTACTTGGCTTGAAAGGTAGTCCAATGGGAATTGGAACTGATATAGGTGGAAGTATACGTTCTCCAGCTGCTAACAATGGAGTTTATGGATTAAAACCAACTACTTTTCGAATACCGAAGCAAGGTTTGGTGGGTGTACAAATGGGAAGAGAAAGTATTATTACTACAATTGGTCCACTTGCTCAAGCAAGAGAAGATATTAATCTATTTATGAAAACAATACTTGATACTCAACCATGGCTAAGAGATCCATCTCTTGTACCTATTCCTTGGAGATTAATTACATTGGATTCGAAAAATCTAACGGTGGCTGTCATGTGGGATGATGGTGTTGTACATCCTCATCCACCTATTACTCGAGCTATTCAAGAAACTGTCGAATATTTGAAAAAATCTGGAATTCGAATTATTGATTGGGAACCAATTGATCATCAAAAAGGTTGGGATTTGATTAGTGCTTTATATTTTTGCAATGGAGCTGAAACAGAACGAAATATGATGACAGAAGTAAATGAAGAACCTCTACCACTCACAGAATGGATTCTTAATCAACCACATGTGAAAAAAAGAAACTGGACTGAAATGAATGAATTGATTGTAGAAAGAGAAAATTATCGTAATCGTTATGCACATATATGGAATGAACGAGAAACTTCTCTAAATTGTTCTATTGATTGTATTCTGACACCTGTTGGTCCATCTGCAGCTCCTAAACATGGTACAGCCAAATGGTGGGGTTATACTTCTATATGGAATCTTCTTGATTATCCAGCTGCTGTTTTTCCTGTTACAACTGTTGATCTTGTCAAAGATAAAGTAGAAATTGATTATAAACCTCGAAATACACTTGATGAAGAAAATTATAAATTGTATACATCAGCTCAATCCTATATTAATGCTCCTATTTCATTACAAGTTGTTTGTCGACGTTATAATGATGAAAAAGTAATGAAATGTGTCGAAATTATTGAACGAGCAATGGGCAGAGAATAATTTGAAAGACAAAAAAAAGAGACTTCAACTTTTCATTGTGATTTATTATTACGTGTTTTATCTGTGAACTTCAATTGATACTATTTTATATAGATATGACTTTTTTTTGTATTAGTTGATTAACAAATTCTAAATGATTAAAATAATAAGTAGGAATAGTTTAAAAAATTGTCGACATTTCTCATTTACGTCAGTTGTTTTGTTTCTTATTAAATATTAATCACCTGATCTATGAAAAAAGAAAAAAACCGGTATATTCAAGACAAAAATAGCCTCGCTTTTTCTGTTCTTTGCTGTCGTATTGCATGTGTGTATTTATACATTAATAATATTATATTATCATTAGAACGAGCTTTTTTTTTCTTCTATTGTGTATTTGACTTAGATGAGTATGTTGAAAGCTATTTTTCAAAATCGTTATCATCAAAGAGAACGACATTTGTTTATTGACATAAGATAACATATTAAGTTTTAATTATTAGAATTCTCATAGAGAGAAAAAAATAATGTTTTTGAGAATTCAATTTAAAGTGTTTGTTAATTTTAGTTTGCTAGCGAGATATGTATAATCTGAATCATACTTAAGTCTTAACTGACTTATTTTAATGTATACACCTATATAATTGTTTTATATGCTTTCATAAATGACAAAATCCTTTGTGCGTAATAAGAAAAGAAAGAGACGAAAATGTATGCGTAACGCGATGATATAGGTGGATTATTTTTCATGTATAAATTCTCTTATTTTCACTTTTATTTTCATAGATCAATAAATCAATACATGTTAACTTTCACTGCGTTTATACTTTGCTTTTTATCGTTTGTGACTCTGTTGAATTCTTCAGTTGGATCCTCTATACATTTGTCAGATTTTGATAATATAATACAGATATCATTAATATCATCATCGATCGTAAAAAATGAAATCAAATAACTAGAAACAACGTTAGTGGCATTCGATTTCCACCCAAATTCGAAATGTTGTGCAAAGCTTCGAATGTCAAGTATCGAAAAAATGGACAGCTCATAAAAAAATGAATTATTGTTTCTATAATTGATAAGGAAATGTTTTTCTTTAAAAGATATTTACGTACTACTGGAATCAGAATTTTCTTTTCTGTCGCTGTAAATCAAAAATTTGACGTTCCGATCAATTGGTTAATCAAAACATGTTCAAAAGACTTTGAGTATAAATAGCGTCTACCTTCACCACATACTAAATGAATAGGTAGCCATTATAAATCGAATATGTGACTTTTTTGACTAATAAGTAACGTATATATGTTTCAATTTTTTTCTGTGACTATGTTTTTCGATGAAATTTTCACTCTTGGTCACCCTCACGAATATGTCAAAAACGAATTTAATTGAAATATCTATTTTATTGTTTAGTCACGCATCGTTTTTTTTTCTTGAAATGATATTCTGAAAGTTCAAAAGTTACTTTTTACGGTCCAAATAAGTATTTCACTTAAATTCTTTTTTCACATATTCGTGAGGCGAACCAAAGGTAAAAATTTCATCGAAAAAAAAATCGTCACAGAAAAAGTTTGGAACGTAGATAAGTTGACGTAATTCTTTGTATTAATTCTAAATGTAATAATTATTTGAAGTCAAACAAAGAGTATGCAATCAAAAAAGCATCGAATATCAGTCAAAAAGTTACATATTGGGTTTCAATAATAGTGGGCTTAGAGATCATTCATTCGAGAGGTCCAGATAAAACTCACATTTTTTGACCTCTCTCCCCTCTTGGACGTCCAATATAAGAAAAATAAAGCATGCTTGTTCAAATATACTGCTTCTTTTGTGAGATTCACATATATTTTCCTAGAAAATAGTGAGTGTAAATTTTAGGTCGAAGTTTCGCGGCTTCTTCCATTAGAGACCGTAGTAATCAGGGTACCCTGCATGCTATAGTTGTCATTTGATCAACATAAAAAACGTGAATTGATCCGGTTATAACTTTAAAAATAATCGATGTCAGTTTTTTTGTGAGTTGATCGAGATATATAATAGTGCATTAAGACCTCCTGCTGTAGATACAATGGTTATTTATAACAATCTTATTTTCCATTTAGTTCAATGCTTGTAATGATAACAATATGGATAAAAAAGAATTTCTGTTCGAAATGCAGAAATAAATAAGATAAATCTTTGCTTCGCTGATCGCTTATATTCGAACAGAACTATAGTCTATGAGGGCTTTTTCACTTCACCTATTTCGTATTAGTTTAATGAGGCTACAGAACATATGTGACTTTCACATTTCAGTTCCAAAATGGCTGCACTAACAAGCTTTATTCACTTGTAAATATAACACGACGAAAAAAAATCGGTATTATTCATAAGTTATGCAAAAAAACTAATCAATTTTTATGTTTATGAGATCGAAGTCTTCTTCATAGAAAATGACTATCATTTAAGTGATCAGTAAAATAGATGAAATGGTCAATATAAATATTAAAAGATCAATACTAAAATTACCAGTAATTAATTGTAAAACGATCAGTTTATTAAGTATAAGTTGCAGAAAAAAAAAATTCAATTTACATCAGTAAAACATACAAAATTTATCGGTAGAAATTAAATTTAAATAAATCAAAGTACTACAGAATAAATAACAAGAAACTAGAAGAATAATTAAAAAAAAATAAAAATCAGATTATTGTATTAGTAAAGCAGATTTAGCCATTACTGCTGCCAATGGTGTACAATATTTCTAACAAATAGCTATACTGACATACACCCTTTTTGCATACCAATTTGAAGAAAGACTACCGAAAATGAATTGAAATTTTTTTTGTTTTTCTATTTGGACATATTGCTAAACCACGTGGATCAAATATTTGTTCCAATAGCTAGTACTGGAAAATCTTACCATATTAATTTATAAATGGTATTAGCATCTATATGTTGTGACGTAAATACGATACTGAACAAATGAACAGATGATATAAAGATACGAAATTTGTTTGTACCATCATCTTTGTATATTCTTTATCATCATATAAGTTCTTGTATGACGTAGCAAAAGATTTGTTTTCATCCATTGGAATATTTTGATTATTTTCACATCATTATTCTAATTCATCTAAACTTATTTTATGCGAATCAAATTTCTTTTTTTTTTACAATAGACAAGATAATTGTTTAGCTGTGCTAACATTGATACATTCATTTTTCTTGATTGAATTGGTTTGAGAACTAGTTTTGATTTCTTTATATCATCATTGAATAAACCTTCTATGTACTTTATAACATTTTCGTCAATATTACAAATAGTGCCATTATTATGTTCATGTTCAAATTTCATTTCACAAGCAGTTACTTTATCACTATCTGCATCATATAGCAGATAAATATTTGTATGACATTAAGGAACACAACGCTTGACTTTCTTGCATTTGCAATAAACTTTTCTTCCATCTTCTAACTGGTTTGTGTAATATTTTGACTAATGATGTTCAACTGATGATTCTGCGTCGTCAGCATTATCAAACGCATCTTTTTTAACCCAACATTTTGATTCCTTTTTTCTTTTGGGTTCTTTTATTTCTATTTATTTCATAATTTTCGTCCACCATCTCTACATCTCATATATCGCTCTCATATTGAGAAACTTGTACTATTTCCACAGTTATAAATACGTCAAATTTTGTAAGCGTGAAATATGTTATTTTTATTTGAAAAATACTAAATATTTATACATGAGGATAGATACCGACAACGACTAGAGAAGAAGTCAAGAAGTTTCTTTTCCTTTCTTTTAGATAATGAAGAATACGAAGACTTAAAACAATGATTTTTCTCATTTACAAAATATGTACGTTAAAAGAAGTGGCTCAGAAGAACGAGAACGTATGCAGAACAGCTCAAGAGAAAGACAAAAAACAAAAATCATGTACTGTATAGCCATTTCAACTTTTATACTGATCCTTTAATATAACCAATTATTAATAAACCGTATTTGCTGATTTTTAAATTTATTTACAAATCTAATTAATTAATAACTGACCATTTTGAGTAACTAACTGATCAATCATTAAATTAACCGACTTTTTTTTAATTACTTCATTTGCTGATCATTTCATTTATTTTACTGATCATAAATCATATTTCCGTAGAAGATCACTGTTGCATATTGAACTTCATCTTATAATTATCAAACAAAAAAAAATTTTATAATTTCTTCCTAATTATTTATATTAATATAATAATGACATATTAATAAACCTGAGTAGAGAAAAACATCATTCTGATCATATTTTATTCTTTCTTTTTTCTTTTTGTGACTTTTGTTTTTTCTTCTTCTATATAAACATGCATTATTAAGAAGAAACAGTTTGTAATATGAAAACGACTAAATAAAGTGCAAGAAATATAACACTTGCAGTGTTCTTATCAATTTTATCATATATTGTCTATCTAGTTTTATTTATTCTTCTTCTTTCACTAAAGGTGTTATTCGTAGCATTGATGGCAGCTTCATCCATTCAACAAGTACTTGAAATTCGAGATGCATCTATTCCAAAGGATAGTTTACTCGGAAATGCACTTCCTGGTTCATCTCTTCTTGATGTAAGCAATATTCCACGTCAATGTGGTCTATTATCAAATGATGAAATAAATATTACTGAAAATTATACAGCTACTCAACTTGTTACTCTTATGGCTTTAGGTCAATTAACAGCTGAACAAGTCCTTAGAGCTTATCTGAAACGAGCTGGTATTGCTCATCAATTGACTAATTGTGCTACAGAATTTCTTGGTGAAGTAGCCATCAATCGAGCTAAATATTTGGATGAAGAATTTAATAGACGAGGAGGACCTGTTGGTCCACTTCATGGTTTACCGATCTCTGTCAAAGATTTATTAATTATGCGTGGTCGAAGGAGTGTTGCAGGATATATAAAATGGATTAATAGAATAGCTGAAGATGATGCTCTTATCTTGAAAATTCTCTATGAAGCAGGTGCTATCTTCTATGTTCGTACTAC